AAAAATATCGGTACTGGTTTTTTTTTCTACGCTCAATTTTTATAAGGTTTTAGGATGTGTATAAAGACCGGGAAAAAAGTGTTGCTGTTATCAACTGGTGTGTATAGGTTTATTACTAACCGATAGTATCCCGCAACCCAGCCCCTGTGTGTTATTTATATGACTATGATACACCTATGTACCAAACTTCAACTAGATATTTGAAAAACTTGACCGAGTTATGATTAATTGAATTCTTACGAACAGTGGCGTGGCACACGTGTGTATAGAATCGTGAAGCGTCTTAAAACTATATCTCTAAAATTAACTTAATTGGATACACAAAACCAATGCCTCAAAAAGTTAAAAGCTTTTAAGGGTGAGTCAGTTATGAAATGACTTAGACTTGCTCAAGACAAATTTAAAAATGTCAGCTTCTGAAAACAAATCTGACGTGTTTACAGCTGCAAGGTTTTTAAATGACCTCAAAATACAATACAGTCAAAACCTGCCATACTACATTTTACATAATCTTGTAAATTATATCTCGATGCGTAAGGCTATCAAATAACGTATTAAAGCAGTGCTCGTCCTTGAAGTTGTTTACAAACCAACAACTCAAAAATGTGAACACCTTACAAACGTGATATTTCATTATTATTTTTTATCTCGACTTGACTTGATCTCCGAGGAAGTGTTGCTTCAATAGTCTAATGTAATGGTTTATGACCAGACATCTCAATGGTCGATGATAAGTGTTTGTATACAGGTATCTCAGTGGTCTATAGTGAAAGTTTGTAACCAGGTATCTCAGTGGTGTATAGTAAGTTTTTGTGTCAAGGTATCTCAGTGAACTATATAAATTTGAGATCAGGTATCTCAATGGTCGATGATAAGTGTTTGTATACAGGTATCTCAGTGGTCTATAGTGAGAGTGTGTAACCAGGTATCTCAGTGGTCTATATTGAGAGTGTGTAACCAGGTATCTCAGTGGTCTATAGTGAGAGTTTGTAACCAGGTATCTCAGTGGTCTATAGTAAGTTTTTGTGTCAAGGTATCTCAGTGAACTATATAAATTTGAGATCAGGTATCTCAATGGTCGATGATAAGTGTTTGTAAACAGATATCTCAGTGGTCTATAGTGAAAGTTTGTAACCAGGTATCTCAAGGGTCTATAGTAAGTTTTTGTGTCAAGATATCTCAGTGACTTATTTATTTTGTGATCTGGTATCTCAATGGTCGATGATAAGTGTTTGTAAACAGGTATCTCAGTGGTCTATAGTGAAAGTTTGTAACCAGGTATCTCAGTGGTCTATAGTGAAAGTTTGTAACCAGATATCTCAGTAGTCTATAGTGAAAGTGTGTAACCAGGTATCTCAGTGGTCTATAGTGAGAGTGTGTAACCAGTTATCTCAGTGGTCTGTAGTGAGAGTTTGTAACCAGGTATCTCAGTGGTCTATCGTAAGTTTTTGTGTCAAGGTATCTCAGTGAACTATATTATTTTGAGATCAGGTATCTCAATGGTCGATGATAGGTGTTTGTAAACAGGTATCTCAGTGGTCTATAGTGAAAGTTTGTAACCAGGTATCTCAGGGGTCTATAGTAAGTTTTTGTGTCAAGGTATCTCAGTCGATGATAAGTGTTTGTAAACAGGTATCTCAGTGGTCTATAGTGAAAGTTTGTAACCAGGTATCTCAGTGGTCTATAGTGAAAGTTTGTAAACAGGTATCTTTATGGTCAATGATAAGTGTTTGTAAACAGGTATTTCAATGGTCTATAGTGAAAGTTTGTAACCAGGTATCTCAGTGGTCTATGGTAAGTTTTTGTGTCAAATTATCTCAGGTAACAATATTTTTTTTGTGATCAGGTATCTCAGTTGTCCATAGTTAGTGCGTCTGTTATTGTTCGTGACTAGGTACAGTCACAGTGATGGACTTGGGTCTAGTCTAATTCCTTGGTGAAATGACGAATCATATCTACATGTAGCTTATTGTTCCACATCTCGTGAGTTACGTCCCCTTAACACCTTTCGACTAAAAAGACAATTGACACTCTAAAGTTCCTACTGTTCATCCCCACAGAAGAAGGAAATTAAAGCTATTCCTCTATATCCCTTATTGAACCTCGCCTCTCTACCCCAGGGGGTCAATTCACCGTTTATACAAAATTGCTTCCCCTTCACCCAAGGATGCTTCATACCAAATTTGGAAAAATTCTGTCATTCCTACAGAAGAAGAAGGATTTTGAAGAATTTGCTTTGTTTCCCCTATTTGGCCCCACTCCTCAGCCCCCATGGGGCCACACTCACTGCTTATACAAAATTGAGTTCCTTTTGCCCAAGGATACTCCAGACCAAATTGGGATGAAATCGCTTAATCCCTATGGTAGAAGAAGGATTTTAAAGATTATAAAAATTGAGTTCCCTTTGCCCACGGATGCTCCAGACTATATAAGGCTAACATTTATTAATCCCTACGATAGAAGAAGGATTTAAAAGGTTTTAACTCTATTTCCATTATTGGGCCCCTCCACTCTGCCCTCAAGGGGGCCACTGTCATCGTTTATTCAAAAATGAGTCCATTAGCCCAAGGATGATCAGACTAAATAAGGATTAAATACTTTAATCCCTACGGTAGACATCCTCGATATCCAGGGGTTAAGCTCTCTACACCCCTAAAATATTGCATAGCAAAATTGAAGGCTCAGTGTGCGCCACCTTGTTGGTGAGACAAGAAGACTAGTTCGATCCTTTGATGTACATCAAAAGAATATCGCTGTCAAGTAACGGTTAAAATTGACAGGCTTTGAATTCCCGCAGTTCTCCTTTGTAATCTTCAAAGGACAGGTATCAGCCTAGCGATTGGTCAGTTTTTTTTACCTGAGACCAATCAAATAGCTTCGTGCCTTCAATATTGCTATGACTTATTCCAGGGCGAAGCAAAGAGCGAAAGTGAGCGAAACCCCCGTATATTGAGGATGTACGGTAGAAGAAGGATTTTAAAGGTTTTACCTCTATTTCCCCTATTGGGCCCCGCCTCTCTGCCCCAAGGAGGGCCACACCCGCCATTTATACAAAATAAGTCCCCTTGGCCAAGGATGCTCCATAATAAAATAGGATGAACTCCCTTAATCCCTATGGTAGGAGAAGGATTTTGAAGGTTTTACCTCTACTTCCCCTATTGGCTCCGTCCCTCTGCCACAAGGGGGCCACACCCACCATTTATTCAAAATTGATTTCCCTTCCAAATATGATGCTACTGTTCAATTTTGGTCAAAATCCCTTAATCCCAACAGAGAAGAAGAAAATTAAAGCTATTCCTTTATATCCCTTATTTTGCCCTGACTCTGTGCCCACAGCGGGTTCAGACCCACCGTTTATACAAAATTGCTTCCCCTTCACCCAAGGATGCTCCCGACCAAATTTAGTCAAAATATACATAGTAGTATAGTAGAGATTTAAAGGAAGAGTTGACGGACGGACGACGGAAACTGCGGTATGGCATAAACTCAACACGGTCCTTCGAACCAGGTGAACTTAAAATAAGTGCAATTAACGCCTTCATTAAATATAGATAAAATCAAAGGGTAGAACAAATATTAGAAATGATAACGTTAATGGTAAAAGACAATGTGCATGTAAAGGGGACTTAATGGAATGCTTGATGTTTGTCATTTTTTGTAAGTTTCGTTGTTTTTAATTAAATAGAAGAGACAACACTGATGAAATAACTTGTTAAAAGAAACTTTTTTTCAACACGTCTAAATACAATTTGTGCATTTAAAAAGCATGGCAATGTATTTTCCTTAACACGTTACAAATCTCAGCAATTGGACTGCCGCCTTATCATATATAAATGAATCTCGAATCCCCCTCGACTTCCTGCCTTGAATCACAGGGGATCAATTCGTTACAAATGTGTGAAATAACATGCACAGGCCTAGGTTTCGTGAAGCCGACGGTTTCTTGTTGAAAGGGTGACACACACCTTTGAGTCAAACATGAAACTTGTCTGTGATGAGGTCAAAACTGGTAAAATTCACTCCAAACTCTTGTTGATCATATCCTGTCGCGTTCGGTATTGCAGGCTTCCCGGTAAAGGTTTCTGTTCCGGTCTTTTTCAATCAATCATAATGTGGCAAATTCTGAAGCCTGCGTTCGGCAGGACGCACTTTAGAATTGATACCAATCGACGGTGCAAAAAACGTTTAAGTAAATGTTTTGTTTTTAACATTGTACCACGTATGTAGGCCTTGTTTGTAAATACCTGTCATATGAGCAAGGTGTTTAACTAGCTTGCCAACCTAAAATGGCTCTGCTTCAATACTTGTGATTGTGTTATAACCGTTCAAAATAATATTACTGGGGGTGTTATAGATCATGTGAATACCTAACATCAATTTTCCTGTTAGATGTATTACATAAATCGTGCCATGTAATATTTGGCAGACATCTTGAAACATCAAAAAAGGGTAACATTACTCCTGTGCTAATGTGGAAATACTACACTGAATTCCTGCTCGGTAGCTTCTAACAAAAGACATGTCAAAAACCAGACCACATTCCAATGTAATTACGGTACAGACGAGCGGTGGGCGCTCAGTACGTTATGCACATGTATCGATAATCGTTTAAATTAGTTTTTTTATTGTACATTTTCATTCAAGCTGACAAGCCTATAATAAAGCGCTTAAATCTAATTTAAATATATCCACAATTATTTAAAAAAGTTGTTCACTCATGTGACTATGTCAATTTTTATATTAAGTATATTATTATTATTATGGGTAATTAAAGTATAATTCAAAAGAGTTTGTATGCAGCGGAAATTAGCTTCCTTCCGCAATTCATCTTAAGCGTGCATATCTCAAGTTAGAGTCACGGGACTATTGCTAACCTGTTTCTCGGAACTAATGTTCTGTCTATCGTAAGTGCGGTTAATATCTTAGTTGTTTTAGTCTTGGAATACTGTGGTCTCCTGTAACAGGCACGCTTCTTTCAGCAGAGAATAGTATGATTGTTATAGAGCACTGAATTTAAACGTAAGTACTCCAATCATAAATACATGTAATAGTAAAACAAATTCTTTATCAGGTTAAAAGTAATTATGTAACAGGGTGTTCATGTCTGTCACATTGAATAGCAGACACAATTATCAGGTTTTTGTGTATTTATTTCCGTAGAAACCCTGTATATTCACACAAATGCGCCCGACATTGGGCGCAAAAAAACAAAAGGCCCCAATCTTATGGTTTGTTTATTGGTTTCTATGTTGGTACTATCATTATTATCTATGTATGAGCGAAATACAGATACGTGTTGTCCAAATATCCCTTTAGTTGGGAACTTGCATATATCAAAAGATAAAACGGAACTCAGTGTACCTAATTCGTCTGTCTATATTATATCAATTATGATTCAGATGATTTTGTTGTTGCAGATCCAAATGTCCAACGACATGATTCAACATTTTGGAATGCTATCTCTGCTGTTGGTATTGTACACTAGTTGTGTACATTGTGAAACCTTCAAAAATGTAGACACGTGTCGTCAGAAACTATGCAGATGCTTCCCTTCCTCGAAGTCAGTTAACTGCACTGGACGTGACATGCAGTATATTCCAGTTTTACCAACATACGCAAAAACTGTTTTATTTACAAAGACAAACTTTTCGAATATAACGGGAAAGTTTTTGTCCAATCTTACTTTGATTCCTGTGGAAAGCTTACATTTCATAGACACTTTGACCAAACTCATTGACCCGGATTCATTTGTAAATCTTACAAAAATATCTACTTTGGAGATCAGCAGAAATTATGAATTACCGCTAGATCTTATATCTCCCATTCTAGCATACACACCTAAGATACGAACTGTTAAACTGACATCAAATCGATGGACGACCATTCCGGAAGATATGTTTTCGGGATTACACAACTCTTCAATCAGCGTAATTTCTCTTAAAAATAATTGGATCGTGAATATAAGTGGAAGACATTTTTCTGGTTTGCGTTTTCTGCAAATTTTGGATTTATCTAACAATTTTCTTTCGCAGATAAATTTTACAGGATTCGAATCTACTTCAATCTCCACAATGAACCTTGCCAACAATCACTTTACTAAAGTACCATCTTTCTGTGGCCCAACTGCACAGTTGACAGGGAAGTACAAAACTCTAAAATTACAGCAAAATTATATTCATGATCTTGACGGGTCTTCTTTTCAATGTTTGCAGTTTTTACATAATCTTTATCTTGATAAGAACTCTGTAAGCTTCATACGAAGCAACACATTTGCACAATTACCAAAACTGGAAAAACTATCAATGACGTTTATCGGCGATCATTTACATACCATTGAGGGGTATGCATTCAACTCCTCAAGTCTTAAAAAATTGGACATTGGGAATAATCGATATAAATTTGATAAACTGCCTTGGTTGTATAGGACAGTGTTCGCTTCACTACCAAACCTCTTGTCGCTTGATCTTACCGGCAACTTCCTTCCGTCAGACTCGAAATCTTTAGGAGAATTGTTTACGAATTTAAATAAATTAGAAAAGCTTATTTTGGAGAATACAGCACTAAAAGGACTCCCACGCAACGTCTTCCAAAACATTCCTAATTTAGAATCTTTGATACTAATTGGGAACTACATAAACGGCTGGGACGACGACCCGGAGGTGTTTGGCAATGTGACGTCACTGCGAAGCCTGTACCTTGACGGAAATAACATAAAACTTGTGAATAAAACGTCTTTCCCAGCGCATTTCCTGAACTCACTTGACAAATTATGTCTAACGAATAACCCATACACGTGCACGTGTGATCTCAAGTGGTTCCTAGACTGGATAAAATCTACCAAGCATACCATCATTGTTAACTACCCTCGGAGATATGCGTGTAGATATCCTCCAGAAATGAACAACGTGTTGTTGAAAAACTACAACCCTACTACGAAAACATGTTCACGTATCGATTATCCTTTAATAAGAAACATATGTATCGCCGTTTTTGTACCCTCAACTATTATTCTTATCGTTGTATCGGTGGGATATAAATTTCGGTTCCGGTTAAGTTACTGGCTGCACATACTAGGAATAAAGAGAGGTGGCTACAAAAGAATCGAGAGTGAAACTGATTATCGTTACGGCGCTTTCGTTATCTACTCCATTGTCAACAGGGACTTTGTGTTCAATCACATGATCCCGGAATTAGAAGACAAAGCTGGATGTAGACTATGCATACATGAAAGAGACTTTGAGGTAGGCAGGTTCATTCTGGACAATATCACGCATCATTTTGAACATAGCAAGAACATCATTCTGGTGTTATCAACGGCCATCCTCAACAGTGAATGGTGTACATTTGAGCTTTCATTGACACAGTCCAGAACTGCAATAGAGGGACCGGGGGTGTTGACAGTAATACTACTGGAGGAACTAGATACTGCCATATTACCATCCACCGTACGAGCTATTCTTGACACGGTCACCTACACCGAATGGTTCCAGGAGAAATCAAAACAGAGCAGGATTTGGGCGAAAATAGTAACTGCTTTGAATACGCACAAAGATGGTGTAGACTTGCTTTGATACATAACCTGTGAATGATTTTGATATAGAAAACACCTGCTTCAGTGACTGTTGTTTGAAACATAATTATAGACAGGTATAATCATTTCACTTTTATTCAATATGCTATCTAGATCTGATTGATAAAACTGAATGCAATTTAATGTTTAACACTATTCTTATATTCCATGTGCTATTATCATATTATATTAGATAGGTTATGTGTACTTAAAACGCGCTATGCTGTGTATCAATTTAATAACAAAACGTTCCGATATGTTATAATTTCGCATTTAAATCGTAAAGTCATAATACGAATTTATTAATTTTTCGTTTTAAAATATCATATGTACGTGTATATAGAGCAATTTAGTCCGTCTACAAATGTACCATCAAATAAACCAATTATATTGGGATGATGTCAAATGTCAGAGCCGACAAAATACTAGTTAGATCATTGATAATATTAAGGAAAAAAAAGTTACCAAACTTGATATACCTGGACGGAATCTTGCAAGGCTCTAAGACTTTATATATAATTTTATGTAATGCTGATGAATAGGTCTTTCCCCTGTATAGTGTTGAACCCTGCATACCCCCATCCCTCAATGTATGATCAGCGATAAAAAAAATATATCCTAGTCGAGTGTTCGACATTCGACATGTTTGTGCTTACACATGTACATTCTCTATAAGAAACGGGAAAAGATTAAAAGTATGTTTGTGTACTTTGAATGTTTAACAGATACATCCTAACCCGAAGGGTGATGTTTTTATCGTCTAACTTTAGGTATTTTTCAAGCAGAAGAATTTCAAATATTCTCTAACGATTTAACTTTTCCTATGACTTAAGATTATTGTTCAGTTCCATCACATTATGACGTCAAGTCATTGTTCATACATTATTTAGAAGTGTTTTTATAATATTATATTCTGAAGCTTTACCTCGCATAATATAAAGTATAAATGTGAACATTACAAATGTAAATATTATCTATACATTCATTAATCTAGAAAATTACTTATTAATGTACAAATATATACTAAGGGGCCCTCTTTCCTGCATATGTACAGTTGCTCTTACATTGTAGTTTCTACCTTACTGATTTTGTGTTGGTATACGTGTTCCTGAATACAATCTTATATTGAAAGTTTTTGATTTTTGTAAAATCAGTAACATACCTTTGTTTTGAGTTAATCTTATTCCAGATTATTTCTTAATATGAATATTGAGGAATTCTAGTCATTTTTTTTTTTTTTTTAAATATTCATCGATTTTTCAGAGACTAATAAGGATACGATAGAAATAATTGTGTATTATGATAGTCATGATATCGCCTACCTGAACGAGACTATCCCACCTTGGCCGTGAATTATAAAGGAATTCAGTCGTATTTGATGTAGACAGAGATGGCATAAAAGGGGAGGGTAAGAATTTTGAGGATTAAACCGATGCCCAACTTCAGCAAATTTCATCCCGAGGGTTGATTCATTAATACATTATCTTTCATAACATAACATAAACATGCTTGAATTTGTAATGTAGTGAACCAAATTAAATGTACCGCCGGCATCAGTGACGTTTGAAATGTGTGACACAAGTGAGAATACGGTCCTATTGTCTTATAGTTACGCCACTTAAATTGATGACAAGATTTGATGAACACATGTACGCGTTTTCCCCTTAGTATATGCATATTAAGACATTTTGTTCTCTCGTAGTATCATTTAAGATAAGTTTTGCACATTAAAAATATATTAATTCTTGCTAGTTTTATATATCATTGGCTGATCACTAAGCATATAAATACAATAACAGAAAAAGGTGAGTCCGGAAGACTTCTGTATTCATTAATCCATGAAAAGTAACTGATATTATGTCAACAGTATCAAATAACAAAATGTCAAAAGGGAGTTTTCAAATGGTACATGTATTGTACTCACATAAGTGACTAATGTCATCGGCCTGATTAGATAACAATAGATTCAAGATTTAAATATGGCCTCTAGAAATAGCCGTACGGATAACAGCTGAGTGAATAACAGATTAACAATGGAGTTAACTATGAAATGGTTTGTTTTTGCTGTGAACAGTTATGTCTCGATGTATAATATTTTTTTCCTTAGGGAAACATTTATTAAAAAACTACAAGATGGCGAATGGTGATGTGTCGCCAGAAAGCGGAATATTTGCTAATGAAAATAAAAACGAGGGAAAGTACTCTCTGTTATGGAAAGTTAGGGTACTAGTGAATCCTTCCCCGGTGGAGAATGGTTTTCGCCTTCATATTAAAGAGGCATTTTCTCTCTAGATAAAAGTGAAAATGCATTTATGTAATGAGTAAGGAAAAATTGTCTTTTTCGAACTATACGCCAATGGAAAATTTCAAAAGCCAACAACACAAGGGAAACAGCTCCTATACCATTGAACATACCGCATACAACATTTCCTACTGCAAGTGTCGGTAAATATTAAATATGTCCATCAAACGGAGGATACTCACCAGAGTTGTATCCCTTTCAACATTTATACTGGCAATATTGTAAGCGTATAGAAAAACACAAAATATTTCGCTGGTGACAGTCGGGTTTTTATTATATGTTGGTTTATGGTGCTAACGACACATACATATACCACTCCTGGACAGTTATATAACCCTAAATACACGTTGATTTATTAAACGTCCGCTAGTAATGTTCAAAGAGACAAACGTACCGTGTACCAGCTGTGTATGCTACCCCATCCCCCTTTCCCCGGCTACCAGGCATATGACAGTTCAATAGGAAACCATATCTTACAATTTCAGAAAATGCGTTCGCAACCTTCTGCTTGGCGACTCACAAATTATCGCCCACACTTGTATGAAAGATTTCAGAAATACAGTCACTAATTTTAATTGACTAAATTTGTGAAGCCATTTATATTTGAAAAGGATTAAAACATGAATAAGTAACGGAGTTTCTATTTGCTACGCCCGTATCAATATAACAAAACGTCATTTCCAAAGTGTTAGAAATTGTTGGATAGAATTGAGATAAAAAATCTAACTTTTTTTTAGTTTTTTTTTTATAGATATTTTACACTTATGCGGATTACAGATAAATACATTGCCTTGCTTTTCTCGTCAATAACTTTTTAATCATGCTAGAATTTGTGTTTACTTTACGTTTTTACATAAGAACATATTTTGAAAATTAAATCTTTAACAAATGATACTTAAGATTTGATTTTAAAACTCACTTTAAATGTTCTGGATCCCTCCAGGGCACTTATATACCAATTTTATCGAACAGAAAGATCTAAGTGTTTATTTTAGCATAAATGCCAAGCAGAATACACACCAAGATGAAATTAAAAATATGTGAACATAATTCTACTTAATTACTGAAAGAAAAATGAAGTTAATTTTATCTAGTCTAAATAAGGCTGCTCTTATAAAGTTCGTGCTTTGGAATTACTTTAATATACAATGTTCCGTAAGGATATACAACCTTACAATATTACGTTATTTTTACGAGAGGCTGGATATCCATAGAAGATAGACGCAAGTTAGAAAAATGATTTATAATATTGCATATAAAAACTCTCTGTCCTCTCTGTCGAAGAAAATTAAACATGCATCATTGTTTAGTACGAGCTCGATAAAATATGATAAAAATTAAAGAAATCTTCAAGCTAATTCTTTATTTAAAAGTGTTGATACCAGGTAAGATTCGGCCCATCGTTTATTTACAAGTCGTCGGTATACCATAAAGCGGAATACCTAAATTAACAACAAACCTTCTCCTGGTTGATGAGAATCTTGAAATCAAATATGTAAATATGTACAGACATGAATCATTAATTGTAAGAAAAGAACATGGATGTTATCTATACAAGATAAACTTTAACCTCTCCATCTCTTTCCACTCTTCTCTTTTATTTTTACTTAATCTTAACCTCGGAACCATATTTGTTCTTTTCTATAAACTTGGGCTATTACTATGTTAAAAACAAATAAGTTATATTCTTTAGATGTCGTTGCTAGCTTTTGTAAACTTTTGCCGGTCCATGTGTATTGTATTATGCACTAAATCTGGTTGACACTATGAGCGTTTCAAGGTTTATTTTCTTCATTGGGGTGTTGTGTGCCATTGACTACCTACAGGAATACATACAGAAAAATGTGGAGCAATCTCCTTCCTAATTACTACATCAGATCTGATAATTATATTAGATTACATATATATAAGATGCCAGAAATTCAGTGTTTATAAAAATGTGTGTTCAGTTTAATAGAGATTAATCATTAGTGTCAATGGTATTAGAGGTCCTGTTCTGCCGTACATAAATTGTTTGGCTTTATGCTATGGGCACCGTTGAACTTTTGTCAACTAAGGACCTGCAGGATTGCTCATGGTAAGGACACTGCACACATTACAAATACAGTATATAACGTCAGTATATTCTTGAACGAAATAATATCTTTTCTATCATATAATGAAAAACGAAAAAAATAAATATATAAATGCACATGGTATATTGTACATGTATACTGATTCAAAATGCACATGTCGAAGTGAAAAAGTTTGTCAGAAAGTTATTGCAGCTTTCTGAACTATGTTTAATATTATTATCATTAAAAGATGTTTATTTGAACGTCATTTCATAACTGACCGTAAAGAACTTTCGCAGATACAAAGCGTCTGTGTCAGATCAGAACTGTGTTGATCATAGGCCAACCTTTATTTAAACGACGTTAAATTGTTTTGTTGATTGTTTTAATAATTATTGTATATGACAATTTTATTTAGTTAAATATAGGCTTATAACCGGCAATCCCACAGCATTACCAAGTGCAAAATGTTATAATAAAGACTGACAAAATGTTTTTGTCAACATGAGCACACTCATTCAGGGCAACAAAACTATGCTTTGCATCATACGAGGTAAATATATGAAAGCTTTACTAATAAATGATGTACCATAAAGGAACAGAAGTAGAGTGAGACACAATGTACACGTATTACATTGCCTTTATAAATGCCAACAAATTGAGAGTTGTCTTCCTTACATTGTCCTAAACAATGCTATACATTCAATCAATTAGTCCACTTTGTTTCTATTAGCAAGCATTTTTGGAAATTTACATCTAATAACATACTTTTTATTAGCTCACCGGCCATACCGTGACGTCCGTCGTCGTCCGTCCGTCGTCCGTACGTCAGCAATTTCTTTAAACGACTATTCTTCTTAACCACTGATTGGAATTCAACTAAATTGACTGGAAGCATGCCTAGGTGGATGTGATTCAAAATTGTACAAATGGTGGGCCTGACCCCCCAGGGGGCTGAGGGGCGGGGCCAAAAGGGGGCAATTTCGCTATATTGCTACAAACGACTTCTTCTGTAGAACTATGCACTGGATATCAATCATATTTAATCAAAAGCATTTATTGGAGACAGGTATTCAAAATTGTACAAATGGTGGGGCTGATCCCCAGGGGACTGAGGGCGGGGTAAAAATGAGAAAATTTGACTTTATTGCTATACACGACTTCTTCTGTGGAACTACTGTATGCAATGGATATCGATAATATTTGTGAGGACGCATTCATTGGAGGTAGGAATTCAAAATTGTACAAATGGTGGGGTTGACCTCCCTGGCTAAGGATTGGGGTCAAAAAAAGTGTATTACTTCGAAATGGTTGAGATCCCCACCGTATAACCATATATACAATTGCTGAGAATAAAGAGATGAGTGTACATATGCCTCCAGAATGGCCTTGGGGTCTGCCCCACTTTTGGAGACTTAACCCTTGGGCCAAAACTTCGAAACGGTTAAGATCCCCACCCCAAAACTATATATACAATTGTTTGGCATAAAGAGACGAATGTAGTCATGGTCTGCCCCACCCTTGCAGCCTTAACCCCTGTGTCACAGCTTGGAAACAGTTGAGATCCCCACCTCATAACCATACATAAAATTGCTGGGCATGAAACATCTAATGCAGATATGCTACAAGGTTTGGCCTTCGGGTCTGGCATATTCCCTTGGATCTTATTACGAGAATATTTTGTCATGATTGCTTAGATATTCAGGTGAGCGATATAGGCCCTCTGGGCCTCTTGGTTGAATCATATAAACAAAATATAAAGCATTTCATACTTAACCTATACCTGATAACCATATTTAATATGTT